AATTTACTCATAATCTAATATTTTTTATTTTACATTGGCGGCGAAAGGACCTCCTTAATGATATTAAATTTTGAACTAATTGTTTTTTTCGTACAAATAGAAGATTCTATAAAATCGAGTTAGACAATTTGCTAATTAGATCATCAATATATAATTATATATGATCAGGCAAAATCATTTTTTCCCGGGTTGACGTTACTAGTATTGACCAATCTGCTAAATGAATGATTAGTAACAAAAATTTATTTTCAGACATGTAACCTACGCAGACAACACTAAAAGCGAGTGCCTTCTGGACGCACCATTGGGGTTTAACCGGTATAACAGCATGGCAGGTCAAACTGTCCCGATCACTCTGAAGCACCAAAACAGCCCGACTGTATCAGCAATCCAAGCTCAGGCAATGTACCAAAACTTCGGTACCATCCACTCTGGAATCCTCAGGGTATCAGAACCCGGTACCAGCTCCAGCTCTAACTCCAGCCAGAGAAGCATGACCCTGCAGAACCCCAAGAGAAAGTCTCAGATTGCCCAGAATACCTTCAGTACCCTCGAATGCGAGAAGAGAAAGCCACGCGCGGCTGGAATCGCCGGAAAGATGAACTTCTATACCGGTAGCACCGTATGACCACCACCACCGCCACCAACCCCGAGATAACTCCGAGAAGAGGATGAGTCCACGCTGTAAATTACCTTGCGAGTCTTACCGACTGTACTCTGTGTTATCCTCTGTCGTAAAGTTTCCCCGGTGGTGGCTGACAACAATGAAATTTGTGTCAATGTTGCTGATAATTGTTGATGAAAAACTCTTTGAAGATATTTTCAGTCCCTTCTATTGAAAAAAACTCAAGTGATTAATGATAATTATGAATGAGTAATGAGTAATGATTAATGATAAATAATGAATAAAAAATGTAAATATTGATAATAATGAACATGAAATGTTTCTTTAAGAGTATATTATTATTGTATCGATAATAATTTATTCTTTTTTCGATACTTGATACGTGTTCTGACTACTGCCAATTTTTAGCCGATTTATCCTTTGATATTTTTTTAATTAACGCTCAAATTTTATCGACAAATGCGATGTACCGAGTAAATAATATTATAATAACAATAATGACGATGAATAATACTTAACAATAAATGGTTAATAAATATAAATATATACAATGTTCGATTATTATAAATGTTGATTGTTGTGTTTACATTGCAGACAATTGACAGGGTGTTGAATAATAATTTTTTGGTTGTTAATAGTGACTAGTGAAAGAGACAATCTATGTGGTGATGATAATAACCGAGGGCGCAACATCACGGATTCTAAGATTTTAAAGTAGAATCCGCGACATATCAAAATATATAGAAGGATTAATAATACTACTTGTAATATTAATAATAATAATTATTATTATAAGTATAACTATTGAAAAATAAGTAAAGGGTGAGAGATTATTTTCGAGCAAGTGAATGTTTGAATTTTTGTGTACGTGTTGAATTATATTCTCTATTAATGAAGGGAATATGTATAATGGAATACATGTAATTTTGTTACTGACCATTTTGTGTTGGTAATGTAACAAAAATATTCTAACAAGTGGAATAAAGTATTAAATATGAATAATATAAAAATTGTTTTGTATAAATTAAGTAGCTCCATGTAATACCATGTATCTGATCGTAGATAAATATGTAATAAAAGATTTTAACTAACGATGATTATTTATAAGTAAATAAATATTTAATATTCGATGACCAGCAACTACTTTATTGTATTATTATATTATTTCTGATTGATTATCATTAGTGATTATAAAATTATGGGAAAACTTTGATAATGACGGATAATAGAGATGGTTTTTAGAATACATTATTTTTTTGTGAAACGGGAGCTGTCATATTTTATAAGATTTATAAAATTTTATTTTGCAAATAACTAGTACCTTAATTTGGCTTTAAATATTGACGAAAATTTTTTAGTGATTGAATTTTAAAGATGTATACTTAATTTAAATCGTAACTTCCGCTGCTGTTAAATTTTAAATGATCTTACTATAGAAATCTACACTAAAAAAAAAAGTTTACTTGATTTGAGAAAAAAATTCTCGAACCAAGAAAATTATTTTGAGAAGATTCATTGTCTAGAATGAGGACAAAAAATTTTTGACCAAAGTAATATTTGTTTAAAACAAAAAATATTTATTGGTTCAAGAATTTTTCTACTTAAATCAAGACGATCAATGTCTTCAAAATGACGTTCATAAATCAAGAATTTTTTTCTTGAATAAAGTTAGTTTTTTTTTTAGTATGTGGTTTAATTTTTAGAAATGGCAAAGCTTGTAGAATTTCAAAAAGTTACGAAATTTTGCTGATACTCTATTTTGAAATTGAAAAAGTTATTTCAAATAAGTTATACTGATATCAACAAGTAAAGCTTTTTATCCATTGATTAATACTAAAATAGTGCAAAAAAACATATAGAATCTTTCTCTATACAGAAGAAAAATTTCTAAGGTTTTGAATATGAAAAAATTCATTTTTAATTATTTTATCAAAATCTAATGCACAAAATTTCATCACCTCTACTTGGCTGAAATTCAATATTTATTTAATTTTCTAAATTAGTAGGTGAAAATTAGTGAAATTTAATTGATATACTTTTTGACTTGAGTTAACACAGGTTTAATTAGTCAAATATTACAAATTAAAAAAAAGATAATCTTACAAAGTGAAAAAAATTTGGGCCATATTTAAAAAAAATATTTTATTGACATAAAAATATAAAAAGTATTTAATAATTCCAAAAAGTAAAATTATTAAAAATAAATAATACCTCATACAATTTACTTTAACAGCATCCGGTAGATGGCATTGGCATAATAAAAGCGCTTAAGCATACTTGACAGTACTACATGTTATCTATCATCGAGAACGAGACGCGTTGTATAATGTATATTATATATATGTATATATGAAAATATATGTATATGTGAAATATATATCAAATATGCATGTGAGTACTCAAATGAAAGCTTTTGATGAGTGTAACATCAGGATGAGCTTATATCTTTAAAAACTTCAATAGTTAAAAAAGTACAGTGCAATTTACCAAAATTAATTATTTACTAAAGCAAAGTTTTATTTATTTAAAGTTCATTCAGAAAATCATTTATTAAAAATTTTTTTAATCACTAAAAAATTGTTTTATGGATTTTTAGTTCTGTTCAATAAAATCTTATTAAAAATTGAGAATATAAAATTTTATTCCCATAAATTAAGCTCAAAAATTTTTAAACATCCCAATAAAATAGTTGTTTGAAAATTTCAATGAAAAAGAGTTACAAAATAATAAAACCGCAAGCCGGGATGTGTGAAATCAAGCATAAGGAAATAGCGAGCCAAAACTCTACTAAATATCACACACACTCGAGCCAACTTGAATTTATCTATTACAAGGTGCCAAAGTATCTCTCCTGTGCTAGTTCACTCGATTTGAACATTACACGACTCGTACATTAACGAGGAGCTCAGTTTAAGGAAAAACTGTTGTGTATTATACACTCCTGCTCCTGAATTGCTTGAGGAAAACACGGAGACTCTTGAGAGACTTTGAAAGCGGGACAGAGTGTCAGACGCCCAAGTGGGACATGGAAAAAGTTTAAGCAACACAAGCCCAGCCCCTTTCAGCCCTCAATTCCCAGCCTCACACACATACACACAAAGACTCACATATGACACACTTGGACCGCGATCTCATTTCATAGAAAACTTCCAGGGTATTTTTCCTTGTCCCCACTGTTGACAGTAATTTGTTGGGAACTTTCTCTAAAGATCTTGCGGTGGCCAAAAGAGTTTTTAATCACTAGCACACATGCATGCTACTTCCTCGGGTTTCATGTCATATCCAACCGAGGACGATTCGAGGATTGTTACATCACTCCGCCGCTGCATGCTTATTTATGCATTACGCGGCTAAAAATAGCGGGAGTAATTTATAACAGTGATTTAAATTTCATTTTACTCTGATCGATAGTTTAATGCACTATATTCTCATTCACTCGGGCTGGCAAGTCTCTAGAGCATCGATGTAAGAGGGTAAGTGACCCGACAAAAGGTATTTTACGGTATGTGAGACATCGAACTCCCGGTTATTCAATCATTGGTACAGTTTTAATTTATATTTTTATTTTGCAAATTGATAAAATTCGTAGATTATAACTTGTTACTTTGAACATTGATAAATTTTATAAAATTTGGGAGTTGTTGATTTTACTTCAATTCTTTGGAAATCAATTTATCATCAGATTTTCCCAATATAAGGTTTTAAGTAGCAGCAATCTTAAAAATTTGCATTGATTCCGTTGAATAAATTTTAAAAAAATCGTAAAAATGAAATTTTTGGAAAAAAAAAGATTTTTTTGAACTATTTTTTTATTAGTTCCAAAATTTCATTAGACCTTGTACTCAAAACTGACTTCAAAAGCTAGCCAACTATTCTCAAATTTTTTTTTCATTATAGTTTGAACAAATACTAAATGACTAATACTAACTAAATAACAAATACTTCATAAAAGCCGTATTTTTTTTTATTTTTGCTGTAACAAAGATCTCTTTAAAATTATAATTTACAAAATATCAAGATTTTTATCCAACCACTTTTTCCTGTGAAAATAATTTATGTATAATCAATCTCATAGTTTAAATTAAAATCCATTAAATTCTTACCGATAGAAATTAATAAATAAAATGTGAATGTCCAATTACTAAAATTTGAACATAAAAAATTAATCTATTTTTAAGATTAAAACTTCTGTCAATCTTCAATTTAATTTTTTAACCAGGTCAGAGATATCATCCTTTCTTACTTTAAATTAATATTCAATAATAAATAGCTGCTTAATAGATGACAATCTGAGATATATTTAACATTTAAAACAAAGCTTTCAAGTTGCCTGAATAATTGAAATTTTAAAGAAACTTCAATATCTGTTAAATTCATAATTAATTACAACCAAATTCCAGAAAGACGTCAGATGAAGCGGAAAGTTTTGATACCAAAAAAATAGACTTACGAATTTTGAAATTAGATGCGCAAAAGCTTTTCTCAGAGTCTGGGAATATAACTCTTGCTTAATTAGTAACACTAATACTGGTTCTTAAAGTTTTGAACTTGTCGCAGAACGGAATATTCAGCACGCTTCGCATTCGGGTTCAATAGCCTTTATGTAACTCTTGAATTGTTTTAATATATGTGAATAATTAACTAGGTCTTTAAATTATTATAAAAATAGTAAAACATCTTCAAAATTTGAAGAAAGTGCTCAGAAGAGAGTCTTGTTTATTTTGTGAGCTAAACCGACAATCGAATTACTCACAGTGTGGAAAGCCGAGATTGTAGCAACCTAAACATCTCTTAAACAACAGCACCCAAAAATAATCAGGAGACAATAAATAATTCATAAGCAATTAAAAATTCATGAGCTTGACGTATCATGACAAAATAACTCTCTTATTACGCTGTACTTGTTACTCGTTACTCAGCTGCTACATGCATACATAAATACATACTCATCAGATCACTACAGCATCTAGAATAATACAGCGTGTGCAGCACACACCCAAGAA